AAGACCAGCCTCAGCAACTGAGACGTTTCAAAAGTTAAGGGAAAAAAAAAATAGAAAGGACTACGGATGTGACTCAGTGGTAGAACTCCCGGTTCTATCCCCAATACCCAAAAAAAAAAAAAAAAAAAAGCACTCCAACTGGAGGTGTGCTGCCAGGGCAGCTGTGGGGCAGCAGCACGCACTCCAGGAAGAGCTCAGGAGCCCCGTTACTGCCAGGCAGGCAGCTTTGAACAGCGTCATTTACGTCTAGAAACCTAGCACCATCCTGAGCCTGGGAAGATGACCTGGAGAGGTGTATGTTCCCATTTTAATACCAGAAGAGTGTGTCTCGGGAGCTGGAGTGTGGTCTGGGTAGTCCATCTGCCCTCACGGCTTCCCTCTGTCCCCAGCATCCGGGGTGCCGCAGCTGATGGAGCCTGTACTCTGGGACTACGGGGCTGACCTGGACATCCACAGTAAGGGTCAGTACCAGGTTGCCTGGGATCTGCCCTCCATGGCCATGCAACAAGATGGGCTGTTTCCCCATCCCCTGCAACCCCGTAACGTGGCCCGGTCTGAAGGGATGCAGGGCCCTGTCTGCTTGGCTGACTGGTTTGTGATAGAAGGGCCAGGCACTGCCCCTTGCCTGGGAACAGCCCCAGCAGACCCAGACCTGTGTCCGTCCTCAGCCCTTCACGTATTCTTTCTCTCTACCCAGTTTTCTGACATCTCTTCCAGTAAACTAGAGTCTCCTCTGCTGAAATGAAACCCGGGTCAGACCAGCGTGGGGTCTCAGGAAGCATGTCCTGGGCTTTGCACAGGCTGCTTCTGGGGGAGCTGCTTACACTGTGGCTCTCTCACCCAGTCCTCCTCATGGAGAAGTACCGGGAGTGCGGCTTCCCACGGCTGTGGGCTGCCAGTGCCTTCAAGGGGGCCACAGGGGCCAGCCAGGCCCTGCCCCACATCGAGCACCACCTCAGGAACCATGCGCAGTGGCTGCAGGTGGCAGGCAGTGGGCCAGTGGACATGCTGCAGGGCATCATCCTGACTGGATGGCAGAGGTAAGCTCCAGGGAGGCCATCCTGGGGTGAGAGGTAGCCCTCCTGCCCCCACAGCTATCCCCCAAGCTGGGGCGCTCAAGGCTGGAAGCACAGCCCCCACTCCACACTTAGTAAGTAAGGCCACTTGGTAGGGGCGTGAGGTCACACTGGGGCACTTTGAGGACTTCACACCATTTGAAAAGTATAGCTACAGAAAAAACCCTGGTCCTTGGACAGAGCCTGGCTTTGCTCCTGACCTACAGGTTGAGAGGGCAGGACCATGGGGAGATGTGCTCTGAGTGGCCGGGCCCTCTGGCTGTCCATGTGTGGCTTATGGTCCAGTACCTATGCAGAAGCTGCCCGTAGCGGGCCGGTCAGCTCCACAGAGCTGCTAGATGGCTCCCACTGAGGCACTGTGAAGATTCCTCAGACACCTGCTGTGCGAATCCCGGGCACCAGGACTGCCCCCACAGAGCAGAGCCCCCTTGCGTGCATGGACAGTGCCAGCAACTCCATGAAATGCAGCACGTAGGTGCAGAGAGCCTGGTGAGAGTGTGAGGTCAACACCAGCAGCTGCCTGGCCCCTCCATCTTCCTCCACCTGGCTCCACCCCCACTACAGCCATGTAGCCACACAGCCTAGGAAATAGGCCTGGGCAGGTGGGGGCCTAGACGGCCACCCTGACCTGCCTGCCTCCTCATGGGGCCTAGGGGTGGAGGACAGGACCAGCTCAAAGGCTGCTGCAGAGGTCTCAGAGAAGGCACTGGGGCACAGCCCTAGGAGGCAGGAGGCAGGGCCTGGACAGCATCTCAGAGGCAGCCCCTACAGGCCCTCCCAGAAAACAGCATGGCAACGGGTCCTGACAAAGGCTCCCACTGCACAGCACCCACTTAGAAACCCCTGGCCAGTGGTGGGAGGGACCCAGCTGCTCCCAGGGGGCCCTGCCTTGAGCCCTAGAACAAGCACACGCTCCTCAGGTCAGGGTGGCTGTGGCCAGGTGGACTGGCTGAGGGCATGGGGCTGAGCCCTCATCTGGACATAGGTACGACCACTTCTCCGTGCTGTGCGAGCTGCTGCCTGTGGGGATCCCCTCGCTGGCTGCCTGTCTGCAGTTGCTGCTCCATGGTACGTCCTATCCAGCAGCCCCAGCTCTGCCACTCCTCATTTGGGCCTGGACTGTGGACTTCCATGCAGTGAAGGTTGAACACACAGGGTTGGGGGGCTGGGGAGGGCACTCCTAGCTGCCCTGTGATTGGCTCAGTTCTGCCAGTGCCTGGAAGGTAGGCAGGATGGGTCCCTCTGACTCAGCCCTCAGGTGGGATGGGGAAGAAGGTCCCACCTTCACTACATAAGTGTCCTGAGAGCCATGAGGTAGGCTGTGCAGGACCCTGCTCTCTACACCTGACCCCTCTGAGGGAGCAGCTGGCCCAGACCACGGCAGGCAAGTGCAGCAACCTATGGAGACCCTGTCCCAAAATAAGGAGTGGAGATATAGCTCAGGATGCTGGGTTCAGTCCCCAGTACCAGGAACACAGGCAGTCTGGGTAGCATTTTTCAGGTGCCTGGAGCCTGCTCTGGAACACACCACTGTTGAGCAAGCTGCAGGTGCTAGGGCTGCCAGCATCACCGTGCTTGCTGCTCTGTCTTGATCTTTAAAATAGCATCCAGCCAGATGCTGTGGCCATACCTGTAACCTCAGCAACTTAGAAGGCTGAGGCAGGAGAAAAAGGTGGGGCTGGGGCTGTAGCTCAGTGGTAGAGCACCCGTCTCGCACATGTGAGGTACTGGATTTGATCCTCAGCACCACATAAAAATATCGTGCCCATCTACAAAAAAAATAGTTAAAAAAAAAAAAAAAAAAGAAGGTGGGGTGCAGCCCAGTGGTAAAGCATCCCTGGATTCCCCAGTACTGGAATAACAATAATAGTAACAAACACCTCTCTTGTGTTGAATGAGTAACTGCCAGGTTGCCCATCCTGGGGAGACCTGGGTCAGCCTGTGCAGGTGGGGTCTGATGGGTTCCAGCACTGCTGTGCCTGCTATCCAGGGCCCAGGGGCCTGGAGACCCATATGCAGATGGCGAGCCTGGCAGGGAGGAGGCCCCTCTGAGCACTGTGCCTGTGGCTGGTTCCAGGAGGATTCACTGAGCACGTGAGACTGAGGGTGGAGAACCTCCTCGGGCTTCCCAGCCTGGAAGCAGCAGCTATCCCGAGGTACCCCCGCCCCGCCCCGCCCTCCCCTCCCCTCCCTGCCTGTCCCTGGGGACCACTGTCTCAGAGTGGCTCTCTGGCAGTGAGGGGACCGGCTCCTTCCCTGGCAGTGACATTCATGCCCTCGTCACTCAAGTCAGCTTCTACCTGCGCAGTTCTGTGGACGCACTGCTAGAGAGGAACAGGTGAGTGCCTCAGTGAGCAGACCCCACCAGTCTTGTCCCTCATAAAGGCTTTCTGGAAGGAAACATGACTTCCAATTTTCCCTGCCAGATTCTAGAGCTCTCCAGGGGTGTGTGACTGTGCAGCCCCAAGCTTGCCAGTTGGCACCCCTGAGAACACCCCTGTGTGGACTCACCCCAGGTACGTCACTGGCTGGTTCAGCCCCTACCATCGCAGGCGGAAGCTCATCCACCCGGTCATGGTCCAGCACATCCAGCCTGAGGTGCTCAGGTAACCACTGTGTAGCTAGCCAAGTGCCTGGCCCCAGAGCAGCTGTCCCTTATATGTGGCAGTGCCCACAGTAACCAGCGTTGAGCTGAGACAAGCTTTCCAGATGCTGTAGCCCTGGATCTTGGATGACTCACGTGTGCCGTCCTTCCCTAACATCCGGGCAAGGTGGTGCACACCTGTAATCCCAGTGGCTTGGGAAGCTGAGGCAGGATGATCTTCAGTTCAGAGCCAGCCTCAGCAACTTAGCAAGGCCCTGAGCAACTCAGTGAGACCCTGTCTCTAAATAAAATATAAAAAGGGTGGGGATGTGGCTCAGTGGTTAAGCATTAAGCATCCCTAGATTCAATCCCTGGTACAAAATAAAGCTAGGTTATCCCTAGCCTAAAAGCCTGGGCAGGACCATAGGTCATCTTTGGAAGTCAGGCCACCTTAGGTCCATCCTGGCCCTGGAGAGGGCCCTTGTGTCCAGAGTCCCCTCTGCCCTGTCCTTCCCTGGCTCAAGGATGTGAGCAGAGCCTAACAGACCCTCCTACACTGCACAAGACGCTACCAGCTACACCACCTGCTCACATGCCATGGGAAAAACCATCAGCCAGCTGAACAGCAGGCTCCAGTTTCAGACGTTAAAATGTGGCCAATCTCGATTTGTCTCTATGAATAAACAGACACGGGGCAGTGCACCCCTGGGGCGGTTGCAGAGGTCCTTAGCAGGCAAGCTCAGGGTCCGTCTTCCTCAGCCTCCTGGGCAGGTGGAGTGCCCTGGCGCAGCAGCTGGAGACAGCCCTGCAGCTCGCCTTCTACCCAGACGCTGTGGAGGAGTGGTTGGAGGAGAACGTGCGCCCAAGCATGCAGCAACTGCAGGACCTACTACAGGACCTCAGTGAGGCGGCCACCACTGGCCCCTGCCCACCAGCCCTGGCTGGGACGCTGGTTGGGACTGCCGAGGGGCAGGGTCCACAGGAGGGCTGAGTGCCCCTGCCACAGGCTAAGGCACTATGCTGTCACTGTGGCCTCCCTGTTTCCATACCCTGCTGAGCCCTGGGCAGCTGAGCAGACCAAGCACAGCTGTCTTTGGGGAAATCATGGACACCAAGGAAAAGCAGGGGGCTAGGGCAAGCACCCTGTGGAGCCCACCACGTGCACGTGGAACTTTACCATTCTGAAATAAAAGGGCAGCAGGGGCCAGAGTCCCCTGACACATCTGAATCCAACTTTTATCACCACTCTGGTTTACAGCTGGCTTTGTTCCTCCAACACTAAAGACGAGCCCCAGTTCTGGGTGCTTCTCATTTAGAAGCTTCACAAGCTGCCAGAAACATATTGCCGCACTTTGCATATTTCATTTTAGGGAAAATTTAAAACATCTCAGACTCAACCGCTGAAAACACCACCTTTGGCATAAAGGACCAAGACCCCCAGCTGGGGGCTGGTGGGCAGGAGCACCTGCCCTGCTTCCACTGGAGGTACCGGCGTGACTGCCCTGTCTGGCCTAGGAGCCTCCGGCCCCAGCACCTGAGTGGTGCTGTGGCTTCCCCAACCTGATCACACCTAGGGGCACAGCCCCGTGGGGCTGACCAGAGCCCTGGAGGCCAAGCTGGGCACTTGGAAGGACCTGGGTCCACTCACAAGGTGGACAAAGCAGGGGCAGGTCAGTGGCAGCTGGCACTTGGCTTCTGTGGGGAACAGCTGATGCCATCCAGCAGGTCTTCAGGGCTTGAGTGACTGGGATTTGGTCCCTGTGGAACAGCTGTCAGTTTCCAAGTGCTGCAGGATGCTGTAAGAGGTGACCTCTGTTCTAGGCACATGGCTTCTGCCCAGGAGGTGAGGGCCCAGAGGGAGGACTGCTGTGATGGCTGACGACATTCTTGAGTCCTGCGAGGCTAAGGCAAGCACCCCGCTGGAGCCCGTGCCTGTCCTGCCTCAGCTCTGGCCACCAGGGCTGTCAGCCTCACTGTGGCTGCTCTGAGACCGTTCCGAAGGGCTCTCCAGGCGGTGCAGCTCCAGGAAGTTGGTGACGAGCCTGGCTACAGCTTCCACGTCACTGGGAGGCAGGTACCAAGAAAAGGCAGGTCACCATGGCATATGCATCCTCAAGACCCTGCGCTGGCCTCATCCCCTACTATCCAAATACAGCAGCTCCCAAACTGGATCCCTCAACCTCCCCTGCCACATTCTGTGCTTTCCCTGCAGATGCCATGCAGGGCTCCCTTCAAACATGCACAGCCCCCCACAATTGTGCTTCCTCTGAAAACCTGTGTCCCACCCCCTGTGCCCCAAGACACTGGGTGGTAAATGAGAGATGACAGTCTTGCCCAAAGCGGGCCCCACCCCGCATACCTGCGACGGCCCATGACTGCACTCTGGGTGAGGGGGTGGGAGAAGCCTGTGGCAAACCGGAGCACCACCATGTAGCCCTTCCCAAAATACCGGACCTTCTCCTCCTCCACATTCACATCCCGGATGTCATTTAGCAGGACCACCACTGGGGAGGTGCAAAGATCAGTGGTCATGTACCCCTCCCTACCCAACTCCACCTGCCTATGCTGTGGGCAAGGTCGCTTTGGAGCCATTAGCTCTGCTGAGAACAGTCACAGTGGCACTGGTGGCAGAAGTACCCTAGGCCTGATTCCAAAGCATCAGCTGGGTAAGAAAGACAAGCTCAAGCCAGGCATGGTGGTACTCGCCTGTAATACCAGCAACTCAGGAGTATGAGGCAAGAGGGTCTCAAGTTTGAGAGCAGCCTCAGCAACTTAGTGAGACCCTGTCTCAAAATAAAAAATAAAAAGGACTGGGAATGTGGCTCAGTGGTGGAGCACCTGGGCTCAATTTCTCGTATTGGGGGGTGGGGGGAGACAAGCTCAACAGACACATGCCATGAGCTACTGGGCCCAGTGTGAAAGCTGGCCTTCCCACAATCTGACAGCAGAATCCCTAGCTAAGGTTTCAATTTCCCCCAAGGCTGAAAAACTGCTAGCCATCACAGTGCAGTGTCCCACCTGCAAGGACTGGGACAGCTGTGCAAGGCTCCTAGCCACAATCCACCAAGAAGCCCAACAGCATACCACTACCCCAGCCTGCTAGGCAGGTCTGGTCCTCATCTGTCCAGCTTGGGGGCCACACACAGGCTAAAGTGCCACCCAAATCAGGAGAAGCCAGCAGCACCTAGGGCCTGACCCCTCACAAGGTACTCTCCAGCCAATGAACTCTTTTACATGCAACCACCTATTCATCGGTAGTGGGCAGCAGATGACCAGATGCACAGTGCACAGCACACTTAGGGGAACTTTTCACTAACCCACAATGGGAGCAGCTCCCAGACCCAGAAGTTCAAGGGTAAGCAACTCCCTGACTATCCAGACCCTCAACAGAGGCCTGGCAGAGCCAATGGGGAACTGAAATCAGGAGGCCCTCTGAGAGCAGAAAGGATCGTGTCAGCTGCAGAGCCACCTGCTCACTGGTACAGCTCAGCCTGCCTGCATCATGACCTACCCCCACTGCCCAAACTCACCTGGGAAGAGCCACTAAGGGGTGGCCATCCTCCCCAACAGTCCAAGCCTTGAGAACCCATGAGTCCTCAGAACACAGGGCCTGCCTGGGCCCCACACCCTGTGGGCCAGGGCATGGTTGGAGGACCCAGGTGCAGAGTGAGGTGTGCTTGGCCCCTCAGGCCTGCGCATGCCCGACTCCCACGCCTCACCTTGGTCATGGCCTGCTCTGAGAAGAGTCAGCAGCTTCCTGTAGAGGCTGAATGTTTTCAGAACCACCTTCCCGGTGCTCTTGTTGAAGATGGCTTCCTGGAAACATATACCTTCACCACACAGACCTTCTGGGAGGGGCCAAATGGGCACTGGGGCACTATCCCACCCATACTGATGTGGATGCTCAAGAGGAGACCCTTGAGCAAAATCCAAACCCCAGATGCCTGAGCCCAGCATCTGTGGTCCACTCTCTGGACTCATGCCATGCAGGAGTCATAGTAGGAAAACAGCGGGGTGGAGCAGGCACCCATTCCAGGACAAGAGGACAGCATAGTAGCAGGGCCATCAAGAAGGCAGAGGTCAAGAGCAGCCTGGGTTGGGGTTTGTGGCTCAAGTGGTAGCGCGCTCGCTTAGCATGCGTGAGGCACTGAGTTCAATTCTCAGCACTACATAGAAACAAAATAAAGATATTGTGTTCACCTAAAACTAAAAAATAAATATTTTTTAAAAAAAGAGCATCCTGGGACCAAGTGGCTTTGAGGACCCCGGAGGGCTGAAGAGCAGGGGGTTCACACCCTCTGTGCCACAGCAACCCCAGAGGTAACGATTGTTTCCTTAGTGGAAACAGTCACTGGGAAGTTTCTAGAGACTTCCTGGCCCAGGGATGGTCACAAGCAACATCCAACGCCTGTGTCCAGCTAAATGGACACCTTTAGGCCAGTCAAATATGCTCTCTCCAGAGAGGGGCACTCTGCCACCCTCACCCACATCTTACCTCCCAGTCTTCCAAGTTCTGCACAGCCACAAACAGGCAGCCTGTGACATAGAAGAGCTTCCAGCCCAGGCTATCTGTAGGCAGACACAGGACACCCACCATAAGTGATTGGTCAAAGCTACGCAACCAGGTGGGTACAGAGGCACACACCTGTAATCCCAGCAGCTCAGGAGGCAGAGGCAGGAGGATCCTGAGTTCAAAGCCAGCCTTAGCATTTAGCAAGGCGCTAAGCAACTCAGCGAGACCCTGTGTCTAAATAAAATGCAAAACAGGGCTGGAGATGTGGCTCAGTGGTCAAGTGTTCCTGAGTTTAATCCCTGATACCCCACCCCCCCACAAAAAAGCTATGCAATCACAGGGAGCCCCGCCTGGCACGACCTTTCCCCAGACACTGACTGCCCCGTGAGAACCCAGGCAGCCAGATGTGATGCTGGTTTTATCTTGGTTACTCGGGACTTGCACATGACAAGCCTTCTCAGCTCTGGGGAAGCATGCAGGGCCCAGCTCCTGCTCATCTTGGCAAACTTCTAAGAGTGGGAAGGTGGGAAACACAGACCCTCAATGCAGCAGCAGCACCTTGGGCAAATGCTAAAGAGCTCTTTGGAAGACTTTCTCTTTTTTTTTTTGGTGTGTATGGGGGTATCGGGGATTGAACTCAGGGGCACTCGACCACTGAGCCACATCTCCAGTGTATTTTATTTAGGGACAGGGTCTCAATGAGTTGCTGAGTGCCTCACAGTTGCTAAGGCTGGCTTTGAACTTGCGATCCTCCTGCCTCAGCCTCCCGAGCTGCTGGGATTACAGGCGTGGGTCACAGTGCCTAGCTGGAAGACTATTTTATGACACAGGAAAATGCCTGAGGTTTGACATGCAAGATGCAGGCCACATGGGGTGCACACATCAGTGCAGGCAGGTAGCACAAGTAGCACTGCACAGAGTGAGGAAGCAGAGATGCTGGCCGTGCCCAAGGCCACACCACAAATGCACACAAGAAATGGTTTTTTTCCTCCTTATTTTCAAAACAGTTGAGGAACTTACAAGGGATGGTGTACTTTACCTCCACTGTAGTAAGCAGCAGCCAGGCCAGTTGACAAGATTCCTGCAAAGAGGAACAAGGAGTACCTTACAATAGAGCCAGTGAGAGTCCCACTCTCTCTCCCAATGCTGCAGCCCCTGCCTGCCCAGCCAGTGTGCCCTCTCCACTGCAGGACTGCTGTGCACTGGTACAGCAGGAAGCGTCCACCAAGTACAGAGTGGAGGAACAGCCCAATGTTCATTTAAAAACACAGTGTAGGCCAGGCACAGTGGCCGCATGCCTGCAATCCCAGCTTCCCAGGAAGGCTGAAGCAGGAGGATGGCAAATTCCAGGCCAGACTAGGCAACTTAGCAAGAATGTCCTAAAATTTTAAAGTGGGAAAGGATGGGGGTGTACTCAGAAGAATAACCCTAGGCTCAATTTCCCACCCCCCCCCCCCCAAAAAAAAAAGAAGAGGAAAAAAAAAAAGAAACACGAAAATATGGTGACTTAAGAAAAGCACGACCCAGCTGGGGCTGCAGTGACAGAACACCTGCGCGGAAGACACACGGCACTAGGTTCCATCCCCAGCACCACCAAAGAAGACAGGGGACAGGGTAGAATTAGGAAGGAAGAACACAGTGCTAATGAAGCAGACGTGCACCTCCCAGAGGCGTTGTGGGCGGGAAAAACCTAACATGCGAAGACAGCTGGTACTTTTGAGGGCAGAAAAAAGGAGGAAATAGTTTTATATTCACCCTTTTTTCAGTCTTTCTGTTCTGGGGGAATTTATAAAGCCTTACCGACCAAGAGGGACCAGGACCGGATGCCCGGAGCCCTCTTCAGATGGAGGCAGGAGTTGGTGCGAGTCTCTACCTGCATGTACATCCCTGGAACACGGCTCCACGCCACAGGAGCGGGGCTGGGGAAGGGGAGTCATGAGGCTGCAACCGCCACAGCCGGGACCAGGCGGCCCACCAGCAAGGCCAGCTACCGGCCCGTGGGCACCGACCGCCGGATCCCGGGGGCTCCTCCTCCAGGAGCTGGCCTCCCGGCTCAATCCGCTCCAACACCACTGCCTGCCCACGCTGCCCAGGGCCCTGGCCTGGCGCGGGCAAAGCCCTGAGCGGCCGCACTCTCGGGCTTCCGCAGCCCACCCGGACCCGCCCCGCGCCGGCCTCTGCCAGGAGAGGGAAGCGAGAGCGTGCCCACCGCGAGTCCCGATCCAGGGGCCGGGGCGGCTCGGGCCGCAGGCCGACCGCGTCCGGGGAGCCGCCCCGCTGCCTCCCCGCGCGACCCAACCTCACGAAGCCTAGGGCAGCACGCGACGGCCCCCTCGGCCTCCGGGGCTCCACATGCGCCCGCGCCCACGCACCCGCTGGCCGTCTGCTCAGCACGCTGTCCGTCCCGGGTCCCGGTCAGCAGTGCCGGGTCAGGACGCTGCCCACCGCGAGGACCCCAGCTTCGGGAGGACCGCCGAGCACAGAGACACGGCGGGACCGCGCGGGGCGTGCCCACGGCACGGGAGACCAGCGGGCACCGCCTGCGCCTGGCCCCGCACCGGGGAAGGGGGCGAGGTCGGTCGCGCCGCCTTGCGGACCCTGAGACCAGGCGGCCAGACGCGCGGACTGCGGGGTGGGGGCAGGGCCTCACAAACTTCCGCGTTGGGGCGGGGGCTGCGCGCCTCCGGAGCTGGGGGCGTGGCCTTGCTGACTCCTAGGAGGAAACGGGGTCTACCGACACCGCGATGGGGCGGGGCCTGCGGACTTCCGGGTTGGGGAGGGGCCGTGGCTGCCGGGGTTTGGGTGGGGCGTGCTTACTTCCGGGCGGGAGCTGGTCTCGGTGGCCCGGCCGTTGGGAACCCGGCTGACCCCGACCCCACCAGTTGGCCCCAGGCGCGGAGGGACGGACCTCGTGCTGGGGCTGCGACACGGCAGGAAGCAGCGCGTGCGTGCAGCGCGTAGACTGTCCAGCCTGAGGGCAGCGGCAGGCGGGCGCCCCCCGGGAAAGCTGCCCTGGAGCCCCTGGGGCACCTGGAGCTAGTGGCACCAGTGATGTTCAGGCCCACTGCTGCGGGTTCAGTGGCTTTTGAGTCTAGGTGTCCGTGTGGTGCTGGGTCAACACCGCAGGGCCGGTATTCAGAATGTTCTTAATAATTTAAGCAAGATATTAACAAGACTGTATGACGAGTTTATGAAAGTACAGGTACAACAGCATCCATGACCCTAGAAATTTTGCCCCTACAGGAATGTAACAGTGGTCCACGGTATGCTTTGAATATAACCCTGACTGCTGTGCTCTCCCTGTGCCTCTCTCATAATCTCAGGAGAAACAGGATTACCTTTCTTCCCCAACCTAGAAAAATTTATCTGTCCCTGAGTACACAGCCACCATAGGAACAAGTCATCCAGACTTTGGGGATGGTACCAGAAGATCTCAGAAATGACTATCTCCCAAATTAACAAGTGAATTACAGCTCCAACACAGAACACCTGGAATGTAGCCTTTGAACCACCTGTTTAACTCTCCCCCTCGGGTTCATGATAATGGGCAGAATTACAGCTTCTGGGACAGGAGTCCCCAGAAACAAATCAATAAACCTTCATTTTCCTTTTTCTCAAAACCATGTCATTATTGGATTGGCATCAGGAACAAGGAGCAAGCTTTCAGCAACAGGCACATTATAAGAAAATGTGGATGGCTGGGGCATCCGTTGCTACTTGAAAATGGCAAGGTAGAGAAAAGTGTATTGTATTCTATGTTTGTAAAAGGGCATGTAAAAGCCAGGCACACCTGCAGCCCAGCTACTTAGGTGACTGAGGCAGGAGGGTGGCTCCATTCTAGGGGTACCAACCCTGTCTCCAAAAAAAAAAAAAGGACATGAAAAGATTGCAAATATGATCCAGGCGCGGTGGCACACACCTGTAATCCCAGCAGCTCCAGAGCCTGACAGGAGGATCACAAGTATAAAGCCAGCCTCAGCAACAGAGAGGCGCTAAGCAACTCAGTGAGACCCTGTCTCTAAATAAAAAATACAAAATAGGGCTGAGGATGTGGCTCAGTGGT